ATTATTTAGCTGCTAAGATGTCATGAGGAAAGGTTGACAGTTCTGACACCCTGTGATGCCCTTAATGATTACTTACAGCATTCACTTCAGTGAGCAGTAACTCACCAGTTGAATGTCTGCTTTGCCCCTATGGTGACTTTCAATAAGGCTCCCTTTGTATATGATCCACCATCAAAGTCAAAGCTGGAAGTCCTGTGTGAAAATCAGAATTCTTTTGCTTAAAGGCATTATTTTTTTTTAAAGATTTTATTTATTTATTTGAGAGAGAGAAAATGAGAGATAGAGAGCATGAGAGGGAAGAGGGTCAGAGGGAGAAGCAGACTCCCTGCCGAGCAGGGAGCCCGATGCGGGACTCGATCCCGGGACTCCAGGACCATGACCTGAGCCGAAGGCAGTCGCTTAACCAACTGAGCCACCCAGGCGCCCCTAAAGGCATTATTTTAAAGGTTGTTTGATAAATCTTTCTGTAGTCTGAATGAAAATGAAAAGAAATATATTTTAATATTAGTTTACAAAGAGTCACAAATTTTTAACATACATGTTAAGTCAGTGCTTAATAGCTGTTGGGTAATGATGTGACATTAAAAGGAATAGGCTATAAACCTAGAAAAAGAAAATCAGAGGCAGGAAGGAGGATAGCTCATAACAAATGTTTGACTTTCTTCCGGTTGCTTATTTATAATAAATGCTCTAGTTTGAAAAGTTGAATGTAATTCAGTCATCTATCAGCAAATGTTTAATGAATGCATGTTTTGTGTCAGACACAGTTCTGGAGATATTATCTACTGATTCCTTTCCTTATTATTTGACCTATTTTTTTAAATTCATTTATGTAATTGGGTGGAATTTGAAAGTCTATTTAGTGTCTCCCTGATAAGATAAAGAAGTATTAACAAGGATCTTATATTCAGTGAAACTTTTAAGGCCCTTATTGAGGAACGGTGCATTGTATTGGCATTTATTTTAAATTTGCATCTTCCAAAAAGTGAAGTTAAACGTATAGATTGGTTCTGTGGTACAATTTAAGTATGCTTCATTTTGGGCAAACAAATATGTGGAGGAAGGGGGAATGAGATTTATATAGACACAAAAGGAATTAGCTATGATTGCTCATTTTCATAGCCTTCTCCATAGGAATTAACTTATATTATGCAAGCTCTTTGCTGGAGTGGTGTCCAGACACTTACCTGTGTGATACAGAAACATGCAACTAAGAACCTATCAAAGCTCATTGTTCACCCAAGAGGATATAGCATAAGGAGGAAAGGGCATGGGGATAAAAAGAAAAGATCAATCCAGACTCACTCTAGATGTGTGTTCATAAATTTACCTCTCTGGACTTTAAGTCCTGATAAAATGAAAGAATGGTCTAAATCATCCCTTATAACCATGAAATTCTAATAATATATCAACTAATCTCCATTAAGGAACACATGAGAAAACCACAATAGAAGACTCCATAGCTCTCCATGACTTTATGCTCAAGGATTAAAATGTACCCCAGACATTCTTATCCTTTAGTATCCTACTATATAGACCCATCAGCCACTGATATATTCAGTGTCTTTTCTCCGCTTCTACTTTCAAGCAAAGTTTGTGAATCAAGAGTTGACTTTGAGAAAATCACATCAAGAGTTCATGTCCATTCTGTGATGGGTAGCTTTTTATAAAAGGCCTATGATTCCTCCTAGAGGTTTAAAATAAACAGATATTCTTAGGAAAAGTTTATTTAGAAACAAATGTTAGCCATTTGTATGTCTTCTTGGGAGACATACAAATGGCCAACAGACATATGAAAAAAAATGCTCAACATCACTCAGCATCAGGGAAATACAAATCAAAACCACAATGAGATACTACCTCACACTGGTCAGAACAACTAAAATTAACAACTTAGAAAACAACAGATGTTGGCAAGGATGTGGAGAAAGGGGAACCCTCTTACACTGTTGGTGGGAATGCAAACTGGTATAGCCAGTCTGGAAAACAGTATGGAGGGGCACATGCACCCCAGTGTTTATAGCAGCAATGTCCACAATAGCCAAAATATGGAAAGAGCCCAGATGTCCATCGCCAGATGAATGAAAAAAGATCTGGTGTATATATACAATGGAATTTACTCAGCCATCAAAAAGAATGAAATCTTACCATTTGCAACAACATGGATGGAACTAGAGGGTATTATGCTAAGTGAAATAAGTCAGTCAGAGAAAGACAAATACCATATGATTTCACTCATATGTGAAATTTAGAAAACAAAACAGATGAACATAGGGGAAGGGAAGGAAAAATAAAATAAGATGAAAATCGAAAGGGAGGCAAACCATAAGAGATGCTGAAGTCTAGGAAACAAACTGAGGGTTGCTGGAGGGAAGGTGGGTGAGGGATGGGGTAATTGGTTGATGGGCATTAAGGAGGTCCCTTGATGTAATGAGCACTAGGGGTTATATGCCACTGATGAATCACTAAATTCTACCTCTGACACATATAAAAACTCACACACAAATGTTCAATGGTGCCATACTGCTGTGTCGCTGTGCTCCCCTTAACTCTCATGATAAATGTTACCAGGATTCTGACTCACTTCCTTTAGGAATTATTGCTTTCAACCTGATTGACTTTGGCAAGCTAGTTTTAGATAATATCAAAATTACTTCAGTCTGGAACTTTGACCAATACAACTTTTGGCTTCTAGATTTTTGTTTATGCTCAGTAAGGACACTCTTAATACTGGGAGTGGGGGTGGGCGCTGGGAAATGGATATGTAGAGGCTGGCCAGGTGATCAGCTGTAATGTGGTTTCAGCCTTTTAAGGATGTGCATTACTAGACTATCTCAGCTCTAAATCAAGGAAACTGTTTTCAAATATGAAGAGAAAACAATTGTACCAAGGTTGACTACTTATGTATTGCAAAGTGGTAAATTTCTAAAAAAAAAAAAAAAAAAAAAATAGCTCCTTAAAATAGAGCATTGAGTGCAAAAAATCTCCCAGAGCCTCCTGGGCAAATCTCTTATTGCCCTTTAAGAAAATCCAATGCTGGATTCAACCCAAGACTTTAATTGGCTGGACTCTTGACAAACTGAAAACTGAGGAAAGCCTTTAGGCTTCCAAGACGCTGTCCCTAAAACTGGTTGTTACGATCTATATCTCCTTGGCTCAGTGCTCTGTACTCATACAGTTTCAAAGTTTTGGATTATGAAAGAAAATGTATTTTTAATTGGTTTTATAAAGAATCCAGATTTTCACATAGAGTAGTTTGTTTTTTTTTAATAGGTGCTGTATAAAGCATATTGCCTGGTTATTAAATCAGTACTGTGAGAAAAGCACTCATATACTCAAGTGGAAGTGGTGGGGCAAATAGAGACTTTTGTAGTGCAATGCTTACATTTTGTGTTGTGGTTTCTGATTATACTCAAAATTGCATTTGCAAGGAGAAGAGTCAAAGATCTAGGATACTGTATCATAAGCAAAAATGATGCTGTTGATTGTATTGGTATCTGAAAGTTGGTAGATTACATCTAAGATTGGAAGAACATAAAGAATTGTCTGACAAATGGGATATAAATATGAAACAGTGTGATTTCCATTTTTTAAGTTAATTACAGCCTACCGCGGTGTTAATCTTTCCTTTTTGTCATTGCTTATAAAGGCCTTGTTAGTTTTATGAAGAAATCGTGAATCATTTCAACCAGAAGTACATCCTAGAACAAAATCGAGTTCCTCAATTTTGAAACACAGGCCACTTAGTTGGGAGAATTAATGTTTTCAGATGATAAAGCCTACTTGATGAATTAAATCACTGTAATATTTAATAGTTTACAATGTACAATATGGTTCTTTTTAATCATTTAATGATTTCCTATTACAACAATAACCACAACAAACCTACCTTACAGTGTGACCAGAAGTACCATTTGGATCATCTAGCTTGACTTGATTTGCTAGATAATTATTTTACATTATGTCTACTCAGACCATATACATCTTATTCTTGAAAATGTTGAAGGTTGTCACTCAGACATCTCTTAACCTTATACAAATGCCCCATGCAAACTGAGAAGAATTCTTCCTTTCTTTTTTAACCCTAATATTTGCCATCCTAGATCATTACTCCTGTATTCCAAGCCAGAACAAATCCTTTTCTGTATTTAAATATAAGTCACTTTACTTAGATTTTCATGGATCCATCACCTCTATGATCTTGTCACTTGGTGTTTTGTTCGTTCAGCTTCTTGCCTAATTGTCACAGATATGCTGAGCTTTAGTCCTTCTGTCTTTTCAGTTGTTCTCTTCATGGTTCTGTAGGTTATTTTTATCTCTTTCTCAAAGAGGATGGATCAGTCCATTGCAATATCCGTCTTCTTTTGCCAAACCATCATTCCTTCCCTGTTCTCAACATAGCTTCTCTGGTCTTACTCTAAATGTCCCTGTCCCTCCATTTTGCTCTGGATGCCATTTCTCACTTCCAAGAAGAACCTACTAATTCTGTGTGTCTTTATTTTCCTGCAATACTAATGCTCTGTCATCTGCTTGTAATGCTCTGTCATCTGAAATATAACATTTCTTTTCATTTCCTTTGTTCTTAGAGCTGATTATTCTTAGTGCCCACTGAACCATTTTATTCCTTTTTCTCTTCCTCTTAGTGATATTCACTGATACTTATTTATAAATGAATCTAGGTGAAAGACAATTTGTACACTATATTTGCATAGTTCTTATCCTTTTATGCCTTCATGTACACTATAGCTTGATCCTGACACACCTAAGAGGTAGATGAGAAAGTATCTCCCTCTTCTATAGGTGAGAAAACGAATGTTCAGAACATTTTAAATGACTTGTCCCACAGCTAAGTCACGGTTAAGACTCAGATCTCCCGACTCTTTCTCCTATCCCGTACTATATCACCTCTCTCTGGCAGAAGGATTGCAATCCATTAAAAGATCTTCACTGCATTAGAAACTGGATGGAAATTAACCAAACGCTTCATTGTACCTTTGCAGATGAGAGCCCCTACACTAAATCCGCCAGCCAGACAAAGCCGCCTGATGGAGCGTTGGCTGTGAGGAGACAGAGCATCCCAGGTTAGACCAGACTGTTGGATTTTTCAGCTGTTTTACTTTTGAACCCTGTTATTTGGTGATCCTAAATAGTTCCAACTTGGTAATAAAAATCCATGCAATTTCATAGAGTGTAGACTGCATTCTACACAACTTTTTCAAAGGATATTCATAACAGCTAGACTTTGGAAAAGCTTGCCAACTTGTGAGACATCATCTTATGTGCAAATCCTTTGTAAAATGACTTGAAGTTATGTCAGCTCTCACTCATTTGCTTACTCTCTTCTCTGTTTCCAGGGGGTGACTTTCACAGCAGCATCTATTTCTTTGCTGAGACATACAAGGCAGAACAAAGGGGTTCGAAATTGCTGTGGCAGAACATACGTTTGCTGAATAACAAATTGGTCCTTTCTTCTTAGCTCTTTGAACATGGATTTACTTCCACTGGGCAACTCTTGTAAAATTCTGGGGCTTTGTCTCGTTAGGAAGCTGTGATTAGGATTCTTTAATTCAAGAAGTGATACCTGTTTTTTCAACAAAATATTTTGGACAAATATCTTAAAATGCCTTTACTCCAAAACTTCAATATTTTGGAAGTTTTGAGTTTGAGAATGACACAAAAGTTCTAAAGGAGGAAAAAAATTCAAAATACTATGCAAGCTTGATGTAAACTAGTTAATCCATGGAAAAGCTCTCATGGAAGCAACTGTACTTAAGAGAAGGGTTAAAACCATTAATACATTTAGACATTTATCAAAAATAATGTCTTTATATATTTTATACGAGTAAATTGACTACCACTAAACCTTTGCTATGGGATTTTAGAGCATAGTAGTGTAACAATTCAGGAGAAATAAAGCAGTGTTTCCAACATTAAATTGAATGGTTTGGCAAAGTCTGTCAGTGAAAGGGGGATTTTTTCCATTTGAATAAGAGCAATATGAGTCCAGTTTCTGAGCAACCCTGCTAATGATTATTATTTACTTTTATAAGAATGACATGTGGTTATTTTTATTCTTATTCTGAAGGCTTGGATTCATTATGAAAGTTCATGGCTTATAAAGAGGCTGTAAATATGTTATACATCCTTGTTTGTGTGCTTTGAAGATTCTAAAGTAATTTGAATTCTATAATTGGATGGCATCACTCAGTGCCGAGATTTCTTCTATTCTATTCTATAAAACATCATTCTTCATACTAGTCATATTTAGAAAAACTGCTGTAGTCAGCTGTGGGCTGTGTTCTCTACTTTCTCCTTGTCAGCAGTAAGGAAGTACCCAAAGTTTGAAGTTCGAGAATTCCAGTTATCCATCGATTCCTTCCTGGCTTCTCTACATTACCTGGTATGCACTACTCCTCTGTTGGAAAGAGTGGAGAGACTTCCTAATGTCCTTACCACTTTAGTGATATTGAACAAAAGCACTGACTATAATCATGTTTTCTTTTCATGGGTTCTCTAGTGTTACTAAATTATAACACATGTTTGAGGGCTAAACTTTTCCCTGAGATCATTAAGTAGTTTTTTAAGTTACGTGCTAGGTACACAGAAGTTGTTCATCATAATCCTTAGTTCATGACACACAGTGATTCTTCATTACAGAAATTTTTCCTTTGGTCCTCCTTATATCAATTTAATAGAATCAATTTATTTAGAATCACAAACCTTTTCTGTAGGCTTCACAGGTTATTTTCTTAGGGTTTAAACATGGACAAACACCTTTTTGTTCATCTCTAATGAGGTAGCAGCCAAAAGGGTTCCGGGTCTTAAAAATCCTCTTATTAAGAACAGTCCAAGAAAAAAGACTTCACCAGCCAGAGGGCTAAGAAACCAAAGTGATCAATAGCTGAGTATTACTTACTATATCGTAAGGAGAAAATTAAGGCACTTCTTAGAAACTGCTTCCCAACTGACTTCTAACACTTGAAGTTCTGAACCTTTACTTACTTGACTTTACTGTCTTACTTAAAAGTAACTATTAATTCTTGTTCTGACAAAAAAAGGGGGGGTGTCCTTCTTTGATCTATGGCCAAGAAGTCACTTCAGGAGAGATCTAACCCAGCATCCAGAAGTCTTGACCCGTCACCTACTGTGTTTACTACCTTTACCCCTACTAAGTCCATGGAAAAGAAATGCACAGAGGAAGAGTCTGGGGAAATGCGCACTCTTTATTAACTGTGGGAGCTTTAGCTGAAAAATCCTGAAATGTTCTCCTGTTGAACTCCATTGGACCACATGGAGCCATAAGAGCAAAATGCAAGTTTGCAGCCTTTGTTCCTTTCTCCTGTGCTCCCCTCCCAATCTTACCCTCCTCAAAGGTGTTTTACCGCCTTGGTAGCAAGGAAGTTGTGTCTAGAGAAAAATGCAACAAGGAACTGAAAGAAGGCCTAAACAGGCCTTTCTTGGTTAATCTAGCAGACCATGGATCTTCTTGGTGAAAAGAGAACTCTCAGGGCAGATGCAGCCCTACAGCCATTTTGCTGCCCCAGATACCATAAGCAAACACAAGCAAGCTGGAACCTTAAAGGAGCTATGGTTTTCCTCACATCTACCCCCAAACTCCACTCTCAACAATCCAGCAGTGGTGACTGAATTTGATCATTCGTGCTAGCGCTTTCTCTGATGGAAGGACTGAAAATATAGTGGAGGCAGAGTGTAGGGTAGCGGAAGGCATATTAAACTTCTCGATCCAAGTTTTATGAAAGCTTAGGTCTTTGAAACTTATTCTATAAATGTAGACCTGGTGCTTCCTGGAATAAATAGTTATACACGTACACATTGGCAAGATTTCTCAACATGGGTTCCACTATTTTCATGGCATAACAAGGAGCACCTTGTAATAATTCTGTCCCAAAGAGGTAACCTTGAATGTTAACAGAGATATAATTTGCTTTTCATTCATATCAAGATCCACATCCCCTGTCTAAACTCAGAATTACTGCAGCAATTATTTTATACTCACAAGTCAAATATGTGTCTTTCCTTAAGTGACAATTCTAACTGTAAATCCTTTCATCGTTCCTCCTTTACTCTTCTCAAAAAAGGGAATGGATGAAACATCTCTTAGGTGCGAAATACATTTGCTTTGGATAAAGAGGAAATTCATTATTCATGTTATTTGGAAATTGGTCATTTTCATCATGTCTCTTATGACACTAAATGTGCAGGAAAAAAGATTCCTTAGCCTTTCATAAAGTTTTGTAAAATTTTAATAATGATGATAGTAAAAAAAATTGACATGAGTGTCTCTACAACACTGAAGTTTAAATATAGATTAAAGACCTGTTAAGTCTGTTAAAAAATATTGAGGAGCCATACTTTCAATCTCTTTTCTGCCCATTTTTTTAATCAAAGAGACGATGAGTTCCAAGTACAAAGATATTTTGAAGTAACAGATTCTACCGCACATCTATGTTTATTAAAAAGAATCTCTTGATCTGTTCCCATTTATTTGACAGATTACTGGTGAACTGAAATTTGACCACTTGAAGGGTTTGTCCAAATTATTAGAGGAAATCTCTACTGACTCCTAGTTTAACGCATTTTGCAATAATTTGCTGCATTACCAACTTAGAGATAGATGAAGGATTTAATTATGTCTGTCTAATATTAATGAAGGGAAAAGATAGGCTACTACTGTAGACCTCAAGGCCTAGAGTTCATATATTATTTATTTGACATGCTTCCTCTTTCCAAGTAGGATAGCTTTCTTTGATTATGCTAGTCTTGACAAAGATTTCTGGGCAATTCACAAATGCAAGAAGACATCAAGCATTCACATCTATTGTATTTCCAAACTTTGGTGCCCCGGGAAAATTATCGTAACTCTAGCCAGATGAGCTGCAAAAGTTTGTGTGAGATTTTTTTTTTCCTCCTAGAATATAAAAAAAGACACATCAATTTGGCCATAATGGAATGAAGTCTGTATCAGTCATTCTTCCTTCTCACATTTGGATTATTTGCTGGGGGAGTAAAAAGATGGAGCTGAGTCTGAAATGTCCATTAGCCCAAGATGTACACACCCAAGCTGTTTAGAATACATCCAGGAAGGGTCAACACCTATGGAAAAATCAGTCTGGAAAATACTACCAGGCCCTTGGCACCACAGAGAAGCTAGCAACCTTGAATTAAGGAGGAAGGTTCTGCCTTCTCTGTCCAGCATTTCCCTGTCTTTGTTAACACACAATCTGACGCTACATTGGTCAACATCCTCCTTATTATGGCACATAGAGTGTGACATTTACACTAGGATTTTATAGCCGTAGGATTGTTCAGGTGTATGAAGGGCATGTACTCTGGTTTGGGGCCGGTTCTCCTTTCTTCTGGGTGGTTCCACCATTGAGTTCCTCCAAAAAATGAGCGAGTCCTACTGATGGCAAACTAAGGTCTGTGGAATGAAGCACAGATGAAATGTCATACAAAGAAGGCACTGCACAACGTACACGTGTATCAAATCACCACATTGTTCACTTCAAGTATCTTATAGTTTTATCAATTACACCTCAGTAAAGCTGGGGAAAAAGAGGGAAAGGACCATTATATTTCCAATGTACTCTCAAATGATTTAGAAAAGAAAATTTGATGTTTGTGTGTGTGTGTGAAGGAGTGCTGCATAGTGTTCCAACAACTTTTATAATTTTCAACTTATTTCAAAGATTAAAAGTCCAAAAAAAAAAAAAAAAGAATGGAGCTGTGATGCACCCATGCTGCCCAAAGATACTGAGTCAAACTCTGCTATTAGGGAGGGCGAGACCCACGCGGGAAAATAGCAAAAGACAAGCACCTTTGCTACTCAGTCAGGCTGTCCCTGCATCCTCAAAAGCAAGCAGTGGGCCAAGGTCAGGACAAGGGGACTCAGGTCTGGGATGTGCCTTCCCAGAACCCCTCACAGTCAGCATTAAGAACACAACACAGCAGTGTTTACCAGCGTTCTGATTATTGAGTATTTAAGAAATGAGCAAAACTACATCACATCTTTAGCGAGAAATTTCTCCAATGCTAAAGCCGAGACTATTGGTAGCTGCAT